CCGCCGCCACCCAGCGAGCACGTTCCAGACGCAGCCGTGTGCGGAGCTCGGCTCTCTCTGTGGGTGGCTGACCCTGCCACTCACTCTCTGGCGCAGGCACTGGTGACAACCAGACGATCACAGATGCAGGAACTGCCGAAGGGTCAGGGTTCAAATGCAGCCGGATGGCATGGGAGGCAAGCGGCGCGGTTCTTATGAAGTCAAGGACTGGGCGTGATCCTGGGTGGCCGGAGCTGCTGCAAGGCCCCAACACGGGAAGACGTGTGGCATTCAGAGCCGGGCCTGCCTGCGAGCCAGCTGAACGGCAAGGAGGATCCGAAATGTCAGAAGAACCAGACGGTCAGAAAGGGCGGGGAGTCGAGCCTCCCCCGGACTGTCTGCAGTCTCTCTCAGGTCTGCGCTCTGTCTCCCCTGGCACAGTGGGCAGCCCCTGGGAGGGCTGGCCTTGCCTGGGTCACTTCCCGGGGCCTCGCTCTTCACTGGGCACTGGGGCCCTACGGTCAGTTGGCTTTCCTGGCCATATCCACCCTTCTGGCAAAGTAGCCACATCTCAGCTGCCCAGGGCAGAGCCCACGGGCGCGGTGATGGTGGGGAAAAGCTTTGAAATGCGCAGGCCTCATGCTCTGGCTGTGCGGCTGAGCACCTCCCGAAGCTACGTCCACGGCTCACTGCCCAACGGCCACTGAACCCTGACCCAGAGGAGGCCAAATCGGGGACTCCGTCGTGGTGTGAGTGCCGGCACCGAGGATGAACAGGATCGGGCTCAGGCTGGTGGTTCCTGGGGCTGGCCCCTGTGCCTGCAGCCCTTACGTAAGACAAAGGGAAGCTTCTCACTGCCTTGGATAAGTTTCCAAGAGACGCCTGGTGACAGCACAGAAAAGATGGGGACAGAAAAGATGGTACTCTGTCCCTCTGGGCTGCAAAGGTGTCTTGAGAGCAAGCCTGCGTCTCCCAGGAAGCTCAGGTGTTCGGGCCCCAGCTCAGCCCCTGCCTCTGTCCACGTGGGGCAGAGCTAATCGATATCGCATTACAGAGGCACTTGACCTCGGCTGTGCCCGCGGGTGCTCTGGGACGCCTTCACATTCAGAGCTTCAAAAAAATGTGCACCTGGCAGGTTTAATGAGAAGCTTCTTGCTGGGTTTGGCTCCCGGTGACATTTAGAAAGACTGCTCTTCACTCGTCTCGAGGAGACTGCCACCCCGCTGAGGGAGGGCTCTGGGCCCCAGGGAGCGGGCTGTTTGATGACCTGAGACAGGGGGAGGGAGGCAGAGCCGCACGCAGGGGGGAAGCCGCGGGACACACATGGGGCACTCGGTAGGCGTTCAGTCAGAGGCAACGTCTGTGTTATTTGTCCTCATTACAATCATAGTGCAGCTGTTCTGTCCTCGATTCGGGGGTTTCCCAGCTGCTGAGAGAATGGCTGTGCCGTGACCCGACCGAACACTCAGTGACGGACAAAGGCCACTCCATTTGGTGTGACTTTCTCATTCTAGGAGGTGCAGGGAGGAGGAGGGGGTAGGTGAGGCCTTCAGAAACTTTTCGAGGACTGACCTACACAGAAAAACAAAGATCCCTGAAATCACACCAGCTACAGGAAGCCTCCTCTGATTGCCTCAGCCGGATAGGGACTGAGACAGATGGCTCTGTCCTGGAGTCACGGGGATGCCCTGACGCTCCTCAGTGGGGCTTGTGGTGGCCATCGCCGGTCCCTGCTCATGGCAACCCTGATGAGAGGATGGTGCGTGGCCGGTAATGCCCCACACTGGCCACTGTCAGCGGGGAGGGCGCACCTCTCGCCGGCTGTGAGGCCCAGCAACATCCTTTATGAAATCCTTTGCTTGTTCCTTGCAGGGGCTTGATTTCCTGGGGCAACTCCCCCCAGATTCACTTCCTCTTTGAAGACGAGCCTCAAACCGGATCGGAGTTTGGGGGAAGTGTTGATTTCAGGTGATGGTTTCAGGTCCCCGAGGGTCCGGGGCAGTGGGAAGGGCAGGTGGCCACACCCGACCTGCTGTGCCATCTCTGCCGGCTCCGTCATCCACCAGGGGCAAGGGTGCAGAGTGACCCTCTTGCTTGGAGCCCCCTCTGTGCGTGGTCTACAGTTGCCATGGCAACACCCAAGGATGCTCCCCTCGATGGCTCCTGGAGGTAGCAGCCTCTCCGATGCCAACACACCCATGGCCTTGGCCGTCTTTCTCTCATTGTTCATTGAAACACGGAGAGACCATTCTCTGTGTGGGTTCCAGGCAGCCGGTGCCACAAACAGCTGTGCCCGGGGGCCTCTGCTTGCAGCCGGCGCCCAAGGCTAATTAGAGGTTCACACGCCAGAGACCTGATCCCCAGCTCCCTGCGGCGGGGGGCCTCCAGCCCACACGTGAGGGGTCCTCACAAATGGTGTTCTCAGGGGCCGAGCTCGGCTCCAACGCGGCACCTCTCCTGGTTTAAAGGGTTTGTCTGGGAGGGACTCCGTTTTGCTTTTTTCTGGAGATGGCAACCAGCAACAAATGGCTCATGAAAAAGAGGTCAGCATTCAGATTAATCAGGGGCCAGACTTACGGACGTGGCTAAGCAGGACCCCCATCTCCCGGGCCGTCTCTCTTGTGCTCGACCAGTCCAGGCTATTTTTAAGCACAAATATCAGAACGTCTCTTGACAACTGAGATGTGAAATAAATGAGTTTTCGCATATAAACTTTTAGCGCAAAATGTGTGTCCGGCTGCTTTGGGCGCACACAGGGGGCAGGCAGGGTTTTCTGGCTACGCAGCAGCTGAAGGACAGAGGTTCACATAGGTGCCCCCCCCGCACCCCCGACCCAGCATTACTGAAGGAGCACACCTGGAAAACCGCAGCACAGCCTCGCCCCCGGATTTCAGGTTTCCCCCCCAGGAGCAGTCGCTCACCAGGTGACATGCGGGCAGGTAGGCTGGTGCCAGCCCTGGAACTGCCAAACCAAAACAGCCAGAGCATCCACCTGCCCCAGGCCCGTGCCCACCTTGTTCATTAGGGACTCAGCTCTGGGTTTGCCCCGGAATCAGGGTGGGGTGGAATCAGTCCACCCCCTTTGAGAGCTGGGGTGTTCCCTTGGTGCCCCCAGATTGGCCACCCACTTTCCTCCATTCCATCCTGAGTTCTGGGGGGGTCCCCTCATAGGCCGCACCCCCCCCCCCCCGCAGCTCCCAGAGGGAGGCCCTGGCAGGAGCAGGGAAGCAGGGAAGGAGCAGGAGGCGAGTGAGGCCCCTGCTGGGCAGCAGAGAATTGGCTGTGTCTCTCCACCGAGGCCACAACTCTTATCAGACTGGCCTCTCCGGGTCCTGCTGACTACCTCCTCCCCTTGCTCCCGGAGACCAGCCACGGTCCTGGCCACCTTCCACACAGGGTTTTCTGCCATGGGGGTCAGCTGCCTGGGGCCGGGCTGGAGACTGGATCTCTGACCAGATGTGCAGAGCAGTCAGATTGGCTGAGGCAGGGCTCCAGGGCTCAGGCTGCGGTTGGGGGAGAGGCAGCCTCCGCAGGAGTGAGTGCTGGACTTTGGCCTCAGGAACGCTTTCCTGGGCACAGCCCAGGCCCCTCTCAAAGGCCACTTTCCCACTGCGCATCCTGGACGAGAGCCTTTCACGGACTCTGCTGCCTCCAGAGCCTGGCCTCCAGCTGCCAGCCCCCCAGCTTTATTTCCTGCACCCCTGTCCAGCCAGAGCAGCACTGACATGGTCAACAACCACATGCATACAGCATTTCCACAGTGAACACCCCCTGGAGGTCAGGGATTGCCTCGTCTGCTTTCCAGATGGAGAAATGTGTTTCTAGGTGTTCGGCCACTTGCCTACAGTCACACAGCTTGCACACTGGCCTTCCCAAGCCTCCCCTTCGCCCTGAGGCGTGTCCCAGCTGAGACATGAGCCTACTTGCTGGAGCCCAAGAGGGTGGCACAGAAGGGCCTTTTCTGCACCAACAAGCCTCAAGTCAGCTAAGCACTTTTCCAGGGCACGAACTGCGAGCTAGACAGACACGGCTAACTTCCCCCAGGAGTCACACTCCCCTTGCAGTGTGATGCAGCCAGGACTACATTTCCCAGCCTGCCTTGCAGCCATGCTGATGGAGGCATCTGAGTGCTGGCCCCTGAACAAGGGAGGAAGTAACAACATTTTCCACTTCTCAGCTGGGCCCTGCACCAGCTTGTCTCCCTCTCCGAGAGAAGGCAGCCCGACCAACATGACGGCAGAAGCTAATTGTTCTCCATCTTCCAGGAATGACAAAGGCCTGGAACCCTTCTAAATGCATCAGGAGGAAATCCATTAACTATGTACAATGTAGCCCCTGAGCGAGCAATGCAGCCTCTCCTTTGTTTGTGGGCTGCGTGCTGGTGCCCCCCCAGAGTGAGTGACCCTGGAAGCCACTGGTTGAAGGTGGCACTGTCTCTCGCATCTGGGCCCCTGAATGACTGCCTGGGGCACAGCCACCACTCTGCCCAGTCCAGAGTGGAACTTGCTGTGAACCAGAAACAATGTATTTCACGAGTGTTAAAACTGCTGGCCTTCCGGGTTTGCTTGTCTGGGCCGCCAGAGCTGTCCTAAATGGACAGGAAACTCCCCAGCCAGATGGAGGAGCCTGGCCCTACACCGCTGGGCTGACTCACTTCACAGCATAGCCTGTGTCTGAGTGACCCCGGGTGTCCACAAAGACCACAGAGGCTACCCCAGAGGTTACCTGCTGGCCACCCACACGGCTCAGTGGGGTCAGGCGGCATCCAGACACACCCAGCCCGCATCTAGAGGTTCCCCACACTCCGGCTCGCACATCCACAAGTACGCCGCGGGAAGGCTTCTGGTAGCGAACACTCAAGACAGGAAAACAACAAGGAGAACCCCAGCCAGGCTGCCAACCCAAGTCCAGGGGCACCCAAGTTACCAACTACCACGGGACGCACACGCAGATGACCCGCACGGCCATCCCTGGGCTCACCCCACCATGCAGCCAGGCCAGCACGCCCTCTCAGCGCCCACCTGAGCCATGCCTCTGCCGCAGAAGGACCGCCTGGCCCGGGGGCGGCGATGCAGATGAAGCAGCGGCTGCAGCGCCCGCGGCGGAGGTGGTGGTGGCGGCGGGGGCTGTGTGGGCCGTGGATGCAGCGGCGGCAGGTGGGCTCCGGGGAGGCGGGCTCCTGTCACCACAGCTGGGCTCCGAGGTGGTGCGGCCCGCAGCGCCGGTGGTGCCCACGTGGCTGGCGATGGAGGCACCAGCCGGGCCGTGGCGTCGCGGGCCGCTGCTCTGGATGTGGGACACCGCCTCCGCGGCCTGCATGTTGGGCGGTGCGAAGCGCGAGAGCACGCGCAGCAGCGCCTGGGCCGTGTGCTCCCGCGTGTCGTCGTCGCTGTGGTCGGACACGCGGCACTCGTACACGCCCTCGTCCTGCTGCCGCACCGCGGAGAGCCGCAGCCGGTGAGAGATATCGTTGCCCTGGACACGCACGGTCTGCAAGAGGGCAGACTGGGGTCGGAGGCCCGGAGGAGCAGGCTGCCCACGCCCACCAGCGCGCCCCCATGCGCAGCGCCCCTCCCCCAAGCTGTGCCCACCGCCTGGAACCCAGGTGTCCTTCTTCCCGGGGTCTCCCCTGTGGCATGGGGCTCCCAACTCTGTCTGGACCTGGGCTGCCCTGCCCATTGCACCGTGTCCCCGTAGCCGAAGGCTCCCCAGGTCTAAACAGGCCGCAGTGCTCTGAGGCCCGGCCTTCAGCCCTGCCCCCACTGACATCTCTGCACCCCCGAACCCCGGGGCCCAGAGTGGTGGCCGCAGGAAGCCACCCTGCCCTCGGAGGACGCATGTATACCTACCTGCTCACATATCCCGGGCCCTGTACAACTAACCCCCAGCCCTCCCAAGGAGGGAGGACCTCGAGGCTGCTGCTGCTGGCCCCCCCTGGCCCTTGGCTACTTAGGAACCTGCCCTGGCTGGGTCAGCCCGATACTCCCAGTACAAGGCACTTACCCCCCACCTCCCTGGCCTGGTGGGGACACGGGGAAGCACCCGGTTTGCGGCCCTGGCCCCACACCCAGGGACCCCCTCACCTCTGAACCTGGCTCTGGTAGTCTCCAGGCCCTGAGGCCTGCACGTTCCCACTGGGACAACTGGGGCGCATCTCCCCCGAGTTACACACCCCACCAGCCCCAGCTCTGGGAAGCCAGGCGAGACTGCCTGCCCCCGTTGCGAGCCCACAATACCAGGCACTTCGACCTGGGGCCTGCAGCCCCAGCAAGGGCCCTGGGAGTGTGGGGGGCGGGGCGAGGCCCACCAGCCAGGGCAGGGACCCCCCCAACCCCTCCCCACCACGGAGGAGCAGCCACCCTAGTCTGGGGGAGAAAGGCCAGAGAGGTGTTTCAGGCAGACCCGCAGGGCCTACGTGGACGAAGGAGAGGTGTACAGGTGAGCACAGAGGGGAGGAAGGGGAGTCAAGCCTGGGGCCCTCGATTTATACAAAAGAGAAACCAATCCCGCTGCTGGCAACAGATGGCGCCTGGACACGCCAAGCAGCCGCCAATGCAAGAAAGTGCCCGTCCGCGGAGCCTTTCTCACAGGGAGGAGGCTGCAGGGCGCGAGGCGGCCAGCAGGGGTCCCCCGCGGCCCACGCTGGGCTCCACACTTACGCTGATTTTAGTTGCATCCTTATTTGTTACCTAAAATGCAAAGAGGGAGAGAAGGGACATTAGGCTCTCGGCCTTCAGGCTCAGGGGACGCAGAGGAGCCTCTGGCAGGGGGACCCTCCGCAGGAGGGCTGGGACTTGAACACGCTGGGCTGTGGCCAGGGTGGCTGAGTGCAGGGAAGGGATCAGGGGCGGCCAGGGCCGAATGCACGGGAGACACTGGGATTTCCAGGAGTGTTCCCGGAAGGAAGCAGGGCGTGCCGCAAGCGTGGAGCCTGGCCCAGGAAGGGTGGCCCTGCACCCCTGCCGGCCAAAGAGGGGAGGCTGGAAGGCCAGCGGCGGGGAGCGTCCCCACTCTGGCCATGTTTCTCTAAACTTTATTTCTCTAAACCTTATAGGAAACTAGATGGGAGGGCCAGTGTATGGGGATAGGGCTCAGTGGTAGACGTGAGTGGTAACTCAGGGTGGGACCCTGTGTGCACATGTGTGCATGCGTGTGCACCGGTGTGCATCAGAGACTGTGGGTGAAGAGGCACAGGGGCTGTGGGGCCCTCCCTGGAGGTGACCTGGGGGCTGCCCTGTGCACGTGCTCTGTGGGCCTCTGGAATCCAGGCGCAGAGGAGAGTAACAATTTGGCCTGGGCGCCGCGGCCCTCGGAGCGACAGAAGGCAGGGAAAGGGGTCCCCCTCCAGCAGCCAGCGCCCGTCAGACGCTGGGACCACGGTCAGCCAGAAAGAGCAGGCAAACTGGGTGAAGTGTGGCCCTTTATGGGCTTGGTGCGCACTTCTGGAAGGGTCTGGGGAGAGTGAATGGGTGAACAGGATTTGGAGGTAACAGTGGCGAGGGGGAGGGGGAAGGGGAGGGGGGAGATGGGGTTTCCTGCCCCAGGGCCTCGGGCCGCACCTTGCTCCGGGCACCCGGGGCGCTGAGCGCCAGGCCCTGCAGCAGCTCCCGGGGCGGCTCCTCCAGGTGCCACCACTGGATCTCCAGCGAGTAGGCGGCGGCTCCGCTCGCGCGGAACGCGCAGGGCAGTTCGATGTCGTCTCCCTCCCGTACTGTCACATCTTTGGGGACTTCGGTAAATGTCGCTGGGGGCGGGGAAGAGAGAGGCGTGACTAACTGCGGGGCGGAGGTGGGGGGCCTGGGTCAACCCAAAGTGAAACGCCTGGCTCAGGATCGCGGGCCTTGTGCTTCCCACCCTGAGGCTCCACGCGTGGCCCAGGCGCCAGCAAAGTTCTCTAGAGCTCGGCCGGGTCGCCGCTGTGACCGACAACCGCCGCAGGCTGCTTCCCTCCGGGGCCGCCCCGGCGCCCCGAGGGGCTAACGCTTCTGGCTGCCTCCCACTGCACTAGCCGGGCTGCGCTGGGGTGTGCCAACTCCCGAGCTCTGCACGTCGCCTCTCCGCAGCTGGAGCCCGGGTCCCGCTCCCAATGACCCGGGCGCGCTGCGGTGGCGACACTTTGCTGTTCTGTGCCCCCTACCCCTGCGGCCCGGGCTGCACGCAGGAATGGCTCCAGAAGGTGAAGCCTTCCCCTTCTCTTCCTCCTCCTCCGCTGTGGCGACCGGGGCAGGCTGGCTCCAGTGGCCCTGGAGAGAACCCCCGATCCCCCAGGCAGCAAAGTTCCCGCGCTCACCGTCGGCCACGAAGAGCAGCAGCAGCGGCGGCAGGTATCCGAGGGCGCCGAGCTGGTTCCGCTGTTCCATTTCCCGAGGGGGGCGCGGCGGCGGTGAGACCCGGGGCGCGGAGAGGCGGCGGCGGCGGCGGCAACCCAGGCTCGGATCCGGCTGGGGCTCGAGCTAGGACGCCTCGGAACCTGCCATGGCCCGGCGTGCAGCGCCCCCTCCCCCGGCCGCCAGCGGCCGCCAATCAGCCCCGCTGCCTCGCCGGCTGGCCCGGCGCGGCTCCGGCTAGGGGCGCTGCGCGGGGTGCGCAGAACGCCAGGTCCCGCCTGGGGCTACAGGCGGTGGTTCCGGGCCTCCCTGTACCTCCGCGTCCACAGGACGATGAGGAACCGCAGGTTAGTCTCTGCCGGGCAGGCCGGGCAGGGGCTGGGCCGCGTCGGGACCCATCCCTGGCCGAGGGAGCGCGGGCCTCGGAGCCGCGAGCAGAATTCCGCCTCTCGGGCTCCTGGCTGCGCTCCTGGCTGCCACCTCCTCCGCCTCCCGCCTGGCTCTCGCGTCGCCGCCCCCGCCGGTCCCTCCGCGGCTCTCACCGCAAAGCGAGTGGGCGCTCAGCCGCGGCGCGCAGACCTGGCGTCCGACCCAGCGCAGCGAGGGGACAGCGGGACCGGCGTGGCGGACCCGGAGAGCGGCGAGGAGGGAAGGGGGGAAGGGGGGAAGGGAGGGGGCGGTCAGTGGCCGAGCGCGGAGCCGCCTCCGCCGCCGCATCACCCCGCCCTCCGCTCCCCTCCCCACTGCTCGCGCAGCCGGCACCGCCCCCGTCCCGGAGCGCCCCCCTCGGCCCCGCGGGGGTCGCCTGTTGAAACCAGTCTCTCGGGCTGGAGCGCGGCCCGCCCCGCCCCCGCTGCGGCTGGGGGGTCCTCCCACCCAAACTCCGTCTAGGGAGACGACCGCTCATCCCCGCCCGCGGCGCGTCCCGGGGCTCTCTCCGCAGACCCCCGCCCTTAACTCCTTACCCCGGTCTGGGCGACGAGCCGCACCGCCCTTTGTCCCAGGCCCGGGCCATGGCGAGCGGGTGGGCGCCCGGGCTCGGGGAGAAAAGCGGAGCGCCCTGCGGGGCCGGGGACCAGGCCGGGTGACAGCGGCGACACCGGGAGTCTGCAGCGCGCGAGCGGGAAGTGAGCGCAGAGCGCCGGACGAGCCGGCGAGCAGAGGCCGTGAGTGACGGCGGAGGCGGCGGAGGCGGCGGAGGCGGCGGGGTGCGGTGCGGAGCGCCCGGCACGACTCAGGGCCCCGAGGCTTCCACGCGGGGGTGGGCTTCCCGCAGCTCAGTTGCAGGCCCTCTCGACTCCACGTTCTTCGCCGGTCCCGCCCCGCCCCCCGCTTACCGGGTGTAAGGGGGATTCCCGAGGCGGCGGGGAGGCAGAGGTCGCTTCCACAGGCAGGTCCCGGGGCCCACCCCCCGTATCCGGACACCTTTCGTACCCCCCACCCACAGCCTGCCCCTGCCATAGAGTCCCCGCAGGGAGCGCGGTCTGGTTCCCGAAGGGAAACGTGCCGCAGGCTTGCTGTGCGGATGGGCGCCGGGTCGCCGATCCCCCCCCGGGCTCGGCCTGACTCCTGCTTGCGTCGGTTCTCCCTGGGGGGTCCTCAGCCAGTGCGTTTCCGTCTCCCTGCCCCTGATCTCCGGGCCCCTCAGCTCTCAGCTCTGAACGAGGCTGGGGCTGAACGACGCCCCCCCCGACCCCCCCAGAGCCAGTGCAGGAGGAGGAGACCCAGAGGGCAGACCCTTCCCGGAGCCCACCTGGCCCCGGCTGCCTCAGACTGGAAGCCACACGAGTCCTTTCAGAGCTTCGTCCTCACCCACGGGGGTGGGGGGTGGGGGGTGGGGGTCTTGAACAGCACCCTTGACCCCTCCCAAGCCTGGGTCGCATTTTCTCTCGGGAAGTCCAGGAGTTGTCCCTGGACCCACAGGCCAGCTGACTACTGTGCCTCATTTGCCCAGGTCTGCAGCTTGGCCGGGAGGCATGTCCAGGGCCTTCCCCTCTCTGGCAGCTTCTCTCCAGGGACCCCAGCTGGTGTGGCCAGCGGCCCTGTGTCATTTCACCAGTCTCCATTAGGGACCACCGTGGGTGGTGACCGGAAGGCCTGCTGGGACCCACTGCTGCCTCTGCTTCTGAAGAGTGGGGGGCAGCCTCCCCCTGTGCTGCGGTGGGGGTCAGATTCCAGCACATTCGCAGGGCCACCCATCCCAAGCAGGGTTCTGACGGCAGGAGCTGGCCCGCTGTGCCTGGCTGTGGTCTCCGGGGCCCAGGCAGGGCACCTGGTGGGGGTGGGGGGAGTCCCACCCCGCTTACCTCTGGGGCCTGCGAATCCTCTACAGCTGCACGGGCACCACCTCGTGGGGTGGGGTGTTGGTCCCCCGCTGTGTGAGTTCCTGTTACTTCGGAGAGAGAAACGGGTGCACTCTTCCCCTCGCTGGTTCTCGCAGGGCCTCCGAGAGAGCCTTCTGGCACAGAGGTCAGATCCCCCCCTCCTCTGCTGGGGACCTTGCAGAGCTCCCCCCACCCAGACGAACACCAGTGGCCTTGCAGTGGCCAACAGGGTCAAACTCTCTGCTCCCCCCACCCCGCTCAGTCCTCCTGTGTGATTTCTGTCCTCTTCATGCCCCCCTGCTCCCCTGGCCTGCTGCCCACAAGGCCGGGCACCAGGTGTGCCCCCTGTGCAGAGCCTCTGTGTTACCTGCCCCCGCGGCCCCTGCCCGGACGCTGACTCCACCCTGCTCCTCCGTGAGGTCCACGGGGCCACCTGTCCGCCAGTGCAGTCTGCCCACGCCCACCCCAGCACGGGTCAACCTCGCTCTCAAACCTGCTTCCCATCCCCTCGGCACTGTCTTTGAACACCTACAATGTCCCCGTGGGCCGGCCTTTCTGTTTGCAGGCTGGGCTCGTCGGCTGCTTTGCTCACCGATGCACCCCCGCCACCTAGGACAGGGCTGGGCACCGACCAGGCCTTCAGTAAATACCTGAGGAGTGAAGTGAGGCGCTCCTTTAACCCCCACAACAGCCCAGTGGAATAGACGCGGCGACTTCACCCCGATGTGGAGCTGGGGTGGCTGAAGTTCGGGGAGCTGGTGGAGCGTGCCTGAGGCCACACAGCTGGGAAGGCCCCGCCCGGGCCTGTCTTTCTCTTGGGTCCTAGTCCTTCCCCCAGACACCCATGCTCTCCCCACTGCAGGCGGGACCCGGGGCCCTGGGCCTGGAGTGGATGCAGAGCGAGGCCCTTCTCCCTCGGACTGACAGCCTGCCGCAGCCTGGCTGGCCTCGGGGAGTCTTGCCTGCTCATCTGCTGCCCACGTCACAGCGGCCCTGTAGGCACAGGGTCTGTTTGCTCCTCTCCCCCCCCCCCCCGCCGTGGGCTGTGAGAGCAGCCGCTCCAGATTTCTTCTCTGTGTCTTTAGCTCCCCACTGGGCCTGACCAGTGGGGCTGGTCCAAGCCAGCTAGAGCTGGAGCACTTGGGGGAGGCAGGGGCGTTAGAAACCAGGGGGTGGGGGTGGGGCCGGGACCTCTGACCTAGCCCCGAGGCCAGTGGAGGATCGGTGAGCTGAAACCAGGCGGTGGTCCCCCCGCTCAATGGTCTGTCCTTGCCGGTGCCAGGCTGGCTCCCTCCTGCAGGGTCCCCGTGTCCTGGTGGGGCCCGGGCTCGGGGGCAGGCATCTGTGATGGAGCACGTGTGTGGTTCCCGGAAGGTACCCTTCTTTCTGGGGACACAGCCTCTCGGCCCTGCCCACCGCCTGAGTCTCGGGTTCCCACAACACTGGCCTGTTCAGACTGCAGCCCATTTCCGGCGGGTGGGCCTGCGGGAACCTTCAGGGTCCGGCGTCTCCAGGCTCGAGCACGTGGCAGAGGTGGTTCGGACCAGCCTTTGGGCTGCAGGGCTCCCCTCCCTGTCTCCACCCGACGGCTCTGAGGTGCGTGTGGGGTCTCTGCACAGGGGCCCCGAGGGAGCCTCCCTCACAGGGTCCCAGGCCTCAGGCTGCCTGCCCACGCCCAGGCCCTCCGTCCGCCCCCTCGTGCCGCTGCTCTTCCAAACCATGAGGTCTGGGAGTTGGGGTTCGCAACGCTTGGCTGTACCACTTTGTGGCTGGAGTCCCTGACCAAAGGCATGTCCGAAAGTGCCCCTTAGAAAGACTGCCCGGCCTCTTGAGAGAGCGCCCTGAAATCGCAGCCCTAAGTGACGTCGTTCCTGGGACTCCCTGTCAGAATGCCTTTGTCTCCAGGCTGAGGTCCCCCCAAAGGGCTGGCCCCGATGCTCTCCCCTCGGCCGACCTTTCCTGACCTCTCCGCGCCACATTTGGCAACATCGGTTTGGGGCGATGTGTCTTGCTGTTAAGCTTCGACCCAGCCGTAAACTTTTCTGTCCGTGACCCTGGCGCACGCTGCGTTCCTGACAGCTGGGAGGAAAGTATCAGGTTTAGGAGGGCTTTTCTTTTTGGCCAAGTTAGCCATTCACTAGCCATCAGTGTCAGGGGGATAAAGGCCTGAAGTCGGCCCCAGGAAGACTCCCCTCCAAGGGCACGCGTAGGGGCTGTGCCCACACGGAGAGCGAAGGGGAGGCGTGGTCCTGAGGTCGCCTGGGGGGGCCGGGTGGTGACGCGTGAGTCTTACTGGCCTTGCTGTCCTGAGGGTGGAGCAGGGTGTCTTCCGGTGTCCAGCCGGTGTCCCTGAGACCAAGGGCTTGGGCGAGGTGGTGCTATTGGAGAGAGGTGACCCCTAATGGATTTTATTTCCACCTCCGTGTGTGTTGTTTATTTAACCATTTGCCTGAGTAAATCCTACAGACCTGTGGAGGCTTTATTTTTAAAATTCTTAATATTCTCAGTACATTCGGGGTTTTATTTCCCACTGGATCTATTTGTTTAATTTAGTAGGGGCCAGGCCGTATTCTTAACCAAGAATTGCCTTGACATTATGGAGAATTAAGAGGCTGGAGCCAGACGGATTGGAGCGGATCGATCTGTCGGAGACAAAACTCTGTCATTTCTCCTGCGTTTTCTTCGCCAAAATGCTGCGGGTGGCAGTGAGAAAGCACCGCCAGGGTCAGCCAGAGGGCCGGGCTCTCACTCCCATGTGCTCCCCA